CTATTTGGAAAACACTGTCATTTTAGTGCAAACCTCTGATGTTGGATGTCAGGAGTGATGCCAGGCTTAAATATTTACATCGGTCTTGTAAAAATGTTTGTTGGTTTGTGAGGCTTCAGTTTCAGGGTATTTCACTAGATAACCCTAATTTGTTGCAAAAGTGTCAGAAATGCTGAAATTTATTGCTGCAAATGAAGGCTTGAAAATTCATTGGCAACTCCTGCAGCGCTTGGAGCTGACAGCAGCACACAGGTGCTCTGTGACGTGAGCATTCAGCTCCCTGGCCATATCCCTCCAGGAATCAGCTGGACATTTACTCCTCAGATGCAGTTCCTGTTTCTGCAATAAATTTTGCATAACATTTCATGCCTGAAACTGCTTCCATTCCTGCACCTGTTAGAACATGTGCTCTCTGCACAGATCAGGGCAAGCTCAACTTCCAGCTTAGAGTCCTAAAGACACTTTTATTTCTGTGCAGCTGTTTAGCTGATTGACCATCCTCTTGCTGGACACTGGCACATATGTCACCCAGCAGCCTGTGGTTTCGTGTGTGCTTTGTAGAAGCTGGGACAATACCATCCCAGCGGTCGCATCTGCATTTCCAGTGGGCAGCTTGTTCAGATTCTTCACTTGTAAGGACATGTGTACTGGCTAGAAGCAGGGTATTGCCCACGGGGCTGAGAATGACAGTTCCAGACAGATAAATTCCAAACTGGAAGACACACCCTCCAAACAACTGCGCAGGGAAGAATCTTTCCAGAATTTCAGCATCTCCTAGACAGCTATTGACTCGTTTATGTTGCCTTACACGGGCACAGGCAGAGCTCATAGTCCTAATCACACAGTGGTTTGATATCCCACCATGTTCCAAGTGCTTCTATTCTCATCTGGACTTGTTTTTCCAAAGCACAGATCTAGGCCCAAAAGACATTCAGATGCCCTCAACAATTAGATCAGATTTTAGCCCTGTTAATTCCCATAAAACCTAGCGTAGGTTGTAAACCTAAGAGCCAGGCACTGGCAGGGTTTGGCCTTTCAAAGTTAGAGACACTATTGTTTCCTCCAGCGCCACTGAAATGCCACCGCCTCTGCCCTCAAGGGGACATATAAGTGCCACCCTGTGCTCTAGGATCCTACTCAAAAGAATTTGGGCCTTGAATATCTGAATAAGAAGAAAAATGTGATCCATATAGTCAGACACTCTGGAGAAGAATAGGAATGTGACGCAGTAAGTATATAAATGTATTTACTCTTGGTAAAAGGTGCTCGACAGCTGAATGCCCCAAGCGGTTATTTGATATTGTAACAGAAAAGCAGCATTATGGAAGGCCAGGAGCAATCCAGTGCAAGCAGCTGCAGTGTCTGAGGGGTGATTTTCAGCGAGGAGACTGAGCAGAGTTGAGGAATGTCTGTGTCAGAGGCTGAACTTTCTTAGAGAGGAGTCACAGTGGTCTGCTCAACCCGCCCAGCCCAGGGCAGAGCCTCAGTGAGTCAGTCCCGATCTGTTCTGCTTTGCACTTTCTCCTTCGCAGTGCTGTCTGTGCTGCTGTGCAATTTCCAAGAGCAAATTCATAACTAAGTGCCACGGATGCTTCTAGATCACCTGCTCTACTGTCTGGTTAGATGTCTAATGCAGTACACAAATTACACAGTCAGTTCTCTGAACAGTTCTTCTGATGCACTTCAGAGCTGTTCCTTGCTGACGTCACTTTCAATATTCACTATAGAGACATTTTTCAAGTGTCAGATGTTGCTGGTTTTACAGCATCCCAGCAGTTTGGAGTATCGCTGGAGTGATTTGTGCTTAGCAGCACACAAGGCAGCGCTGCATGCCCTTCAGAGCAGGACACATGATGTGAAGAACTTCTGCACTGTGCAGGGCTTGTGAGCTCAGGGGCGTGGGCTGCTCAGACACCCTGTGACTGCCAAACATTCCCCTGTGCCCACCAGCCTCTGATCCCTTGCTCCATAACCACAGGGCTAAAACAAGAGAGAGCTGTTCCTCAAGCTTTTATTGCACTGATTGTTACATATGGAAGGATCACTGAAGCATATTTCAGTGTGTTTTGCTGCAGGGACAAACTGGCCCCTCATCTGTCCAGGAGAAGCTCTGCCGTGTAACACTTTTCAAATTGAATCTTCCCATTTGTACATAATCCAGGGGTTTTCTGTCTTGAAGACAGGATAGTCCGGATATAGAGTGACTTACAGAAAACAACTGAGGAAGTTATATTTCATGGACTAAAGAAAAATCTGTGTCTGGAAACCTTGAGTGTGAAGGAGTTACAGCTTGTAAGTGCTGTGCAAATTGACTGGGTGTGATGAGGTGGTGATTTTACTCCTGGATGAGCTGTAAGGGGTGACAAGCTGTATGACTGTAGCTCTTTGGGACAGGGCAGTTCCTTTTGCTTCTGCCCTCTATAGTATTTTGTAGCTCCAGGCGGTGAAAATCCTGTGTGCCTTTCTGAAGTCTTATAATATTACATGGATGACTTCCTGGGTGTGGATAATCAATGCCAGGCATGAGACATGACTAAAGGTGTTTCAGGTGCTCGGGTTGGGCCTGCTCATCCAGCAGTGGCTCACAAGGATAATGCCAGTGAGATCTGCAAGCTGCTTTCTGTGCAGGCTAAGGTCAGTACCTGGCAAGTTCCAGTTCTTGATATGCTGTCCAAAACCATAGCCTTTAGCCCATGTGATGCTGCAAGCACCAGCTCTGCTCTTTTTCTATTCCTTAAAAACCCATGGGCCCCCAAATCCACCAAATGGGGTGTGTGTGAGGGATTATGGCCCGTGACAGTATATAAGCCTTTGTAGTGGATGTGTGCATTGTGTATTTAATTATCTGAGCTAATCATCTGCTACCCCTGCTTCTGGTTTCTGTGCTTATCAGTTGTGGCTCCAGACATGTCCTGGCACACAAGTATTGCTGTTGGCACTTGGGTGTGATGACAGAAAATAATCTTGCTAAAGACTGGGGGGCCCTTTGCAGGGTAAATCACGGTTTACATTTCTTGATTCGTTGCTATGACCAATGCCACTCCCCTGATAGCATTTGTAATGTAAAGGGAGGGATTGATCACCTGTTTTATGATAACCAGACTTTGTCAGTTGAGGGTCTCCCTTTGCATTAGAGTAGCTAGCTCAGAAAGCTCAAGAAGAATTGTCTGTGTTTGGAGGTAATGAGTTGGCTAGAAAAAGGTGTTTGCAAACAGGATTAGGGACTTCCCTTCTTGCTACAGAGCAGAAGAATCTTAAGTGTTTATCCAAGGCTGTCCACTGAAGTGCAGCACATGTGTGTGGTGCTGCTGTGGCAGTCTGCTTATTGTGATTGTCTACTACAAAAATAGAACAGGAATCTCTGCTTTCCCCATTTGAGGTCACCTCCTATCTTTAGCAGTCACTTTAATGATTTGAGGGCAAGTTATTAAACAGCTCAACTCCAACTTTCAATTACTTATTAACTTATTTGGTTATTAAATTATTTGGTTAGTAATCATTCAAGGAGCAGAAATGTAGCACAGCCTGTAAAGTCTCCAGGACCATCACATTCCCTGCCTGTTCTAAAGGAATTACTGTTACCCTTCTGCTTAAGAGGTGAAGCAGTATAACCAAGTTGTGACTTGTTCATAGATTTCCAGGGCATGTAAACTATGTTCATCATGAAAGATGAAAAAAATAATCGTCTTTGTGCATTGATTATTTAATTTCTATGAAAGGAATCAAAGCATTCCATTTCTTGGAGTTTACAGTGAGCTAGTTCCTGCTCTGTGGCCCTAAAGACCTGTTTCCCCTCCCCATGAGATACCTATTCTTAGTCTGCACTTACCCATCCCTCCAAAGCACTCACCAGATAATTGTGCATGACTCAGATCAGAACTTGGACATTGGTAGGAGCAGTTCAAGTGTGAGAAAGAAAACTGGAAACAAACTGGAGCCTCACTGTCCAAGCCAAGGTAAGAATCAACATACCTGGTTTAATGGAAATGGGAACTGTAGGTTTTTATTACAATTACAGGGTTTGTTGCTTTATTATATTAATTTTTTACTGGGACATCTGCATGAATCTAAGTAATATAAGCATTGGGTTTTCAAAACTTGCTTTTAAACTTAAAAAAACACACACACACACACACAAAAAACAAACAAACAAACAAACAAACAAACAAACAAAAAACAAAAACAAAAAAACCAAACCAAAACACCAAAAAACCCACATCCGTAGAAATTTATGGTTTAGTTTGCTTTTTAAGTTTAAAAGTATGGGGTCAGGATGAAGCTTGATTTACCCTGGGGGGTTCACATCACATTGCCCTGTTGGGAGCTAATAGCAGGTGTACCATGGTGTGTGTATGGCAGTGTCAGGCTCTGGAGAGGAATACACCAGACGTGATCAGGAATCAAATATTTGAGTCTGTTCTGCCTCTCCCTGACATCAAAATATATAAAGCAGAAGCCCCTTCATATCAATTGCAAGGCAAGAAGATGGGTGGGAAGACAAATTCAGGCCTGGTGTTTTTCATGCTCTTCTCTGTGGCCCAATAACTTCTAGTTTGGGGGTTGATCTGGTGAATAAACTGTTTGTTGTAAATGGCTGGGCAAACAGTAAGAACTGGGAAGGTGTGTCTTGGTTCAAATATTTTTTTTCCAGCCTAAACATCTGCTTATAGAATAACTGCTGAGCAATTAAGGTAAGTGGCAATGCTTTCCCTCTTACAGACCCAACTCTTGCCCAATGAGTAATACTCATGAGGTTATTATACGGTTCGGCAAAAAATGGATTACACAGCTATGTGCGGTTGAGGGATCAAGCTGTGCTGTCACAATTTCTATCATAATTTTATAAATCCATGTATCTACACTTAGGCATGATCTGATGGTTTGTCCCATTTATTCCACCAAACGCTGGAGATAGATATCTGAAGGGAAACTTACTTTATGCAGTGGATTAGAAAACAGAAGAGGTTAAAGCATAACAGTGCTTTGGGCACTGGATGTTTCAGAGTGTGTCCTGTCAGCAGATGATTCCTGGCAGTCAGCAGGTTGCCTCTCCCTCTTTAAGTTAGTGATTAAAGTGTTAACCGGAGCCTCCTGGAGGTGAAACCGTGACTAAGGGCGCGCTCCTGTCAGCGCTCGGAGGAAGGAAAGTGTGTAGGTAAATATTCCCGACATGCACTGAGGAGCGGGGAGTGTCCCGGGCTTCCAGCACTCCCAGTTCAAGCGAAACAGTAACCAACAGCCCGCGGCTTCCATGGAGCAGCAGAGGTAGCTGTCAGCCAGGGCCGTGCTGTCATGCCTCTTGCAGGGCTCAGGGAAAGGTGTGTGAGACTCTTCCTTGGATCGCACGCCCAGGTGAGTGCAATGGAAAGCTGGAGCTGTTCTGCTTGCTGTGTCAGCTGCGGTGGCAGGGGAAAGCAAGGTCTTTGGCAGCCAGGCAGAGCTCCGGTCACATACCTGTGGGCTAATTCGGGTGCCGGAGGGAAGGAGATACGCTCACTCAGAAATCCTCGTCGAAGAAGAACCTCCTGCTTAGGGGGTTTGTGGGTCAGTTGTGATTGAAACAGGCGGGTAACAGGTCGCGCTGATGCTCAGTGTGTCCATGGGCACAGACCTTCTCTGCCCTGCATTCAGTGGCCGGTGGGATTTAGAAGGTTGGTCAGTGACCTTGTGTGTTCTTTTTGGCGGGGAAAAACGGTCTGTGCTGAGCGGCCAAAACCAGAAAGTAACTTGTCTTCACAATAACGGGCTACTTGGTGTTTGAAACGTGTGCGAGCCCTGCTCTATCGATGTGTGAGGGGAGGGAGCTTGTGGATCTCCTCCGTTGGGACTGGCACGTATTCAGATAAACACCACCTTGCTGCTGGTTTTGGCAACCGAATCCCATTGTAAGCCTGCCTGAGCAGAGTGCTTATCTGTGATTTGAAATCAGGTAGTGCTGTTACTGCTCTGGACTGAGCAGCTGATTTTTAAACTAAAGTGTGAAGAAGTCTGAAAGACCAAGGAAAAAGCAGCCTCTTTGTTTTCAGTGGGAAAAACACAATTATTCAGATTAAGTACTTCATTTTAATTAAACTTTTTGGTGGCAGGGACATCTAACTTAAACAAAAAGAAAAAAAAGGTAACAGGAGGGCTCATAACTAGACTATGTGACTAGTAAAATTATGCTGCTGATATTGAATGTATCCATGTGAATAAATCCTAAACTCATCTTTATAGAAACCAATAATGCTCCAAAACTTTGCTAAATGCCAGACACCTATGAGTTCAGAAAATTACTTGGATGTGCTGTCATACCTATGGTGCAAAGCTTCTTGCTGTGCAAAATATTCCACGTGTGTGGAGTCGATAGCTGAGGTGACAGGCAGCTGAGCCTTGTGGCTTCCATACAAGAAATGGAAAAGGTTCATCTGTCCTGGCTTCCTCTGGGTCTGGAAGACCTTTGGGAAGCACTGGGTCAAAATACCTGGAGATCTTTGTGGAGGTTTGGGCTTTTTGTGTCTCCACAGTGGTAGGAGCTCAGCGTGGCACACTGCACGCTCTGCGGTTCCTGTCTTAATTTATGGATGCGCCAGGAAGCACACGCAGGCTGTGGCACAAGTTAAGGTGCTGCCTTGCTGCTCCTGCTTGGCTCAGTGTGTATCTCAGGTGTCCCTCTCCTTGCAGCCTTCCTCTGCAGCTGCCTCTTTATCTTTGGGTAAAAATCTGTGTAGCTCTTGGTGCTTAACTTTGCTGTGTCATTCCTCTGCTGTCCTGTCCCTGGGCTGTCACCTTAAACCAGTGACTTAAAGATCACTGTACTGAATGAAATGGAATGGAATGAGTCCTCTCATCCGCCTTTCCACTGACACTTGGATTTTATCTTGGAAAAAAAGCATTTCAGGTAAGATCTAAAGCTCGAGAGAAAAGTGAAGCTCGCTACCTTTGTGAGATTTGTCTTGTGCCCTGATGGGAGTGGTGACGGTCTCACAAGCTTTGGGATTGTGTAGTGGTCAGTTTTCTGTTTGTTTCCTAAACTTATCCAATGGCTGCAGGCTTCCTCTAGAGATGCTCATTTTGCATCTGCCATGCTTCTTATTTACTGGTGACTTTGCCTTCCTTTTTCTTCCCTTCAGAAGTATTTTAGGCTTCAGTCAGTTTTCCTCCAAGTCTTAAATTTTTTGATGGTTAAGTCTCAGGTCAGGAGTATAGTCCAGCCAAGATCCCACTTTTCAGGTCTTACCTGAGGGAATTCTGTGCTAGCAGTTCAGTTTAACATTATGGTAAAGATACCTGTGTGACACGTACCAAATCAGGAGATGGCTTTGAATAGATGGCACAACCATATGTTGTCAGAAGAGCTGGGAAATTGGCGTGCTTTGGTTAGTTCAGATCCAAGGGAGCAGTGGAAAACATTTCACTTCTCCTATTTGCTTCCTCAAAAGAGCTACAGGGAAGTGACACAGAAAACAGTAAAGTACCAGGAGCTGATAGAAAATCCAACAGCTTTGTGAACTTAGGGAGCGCCAGTGCAAATATCCTGACATCTGTCAGGTCATTGTGCTGGGGAAGTCACTGCATGGTCTCAATCTGCAGATCTTGGGCTTGGCTGGAAAGAAAAGCTATGGGATGTTTGCAGCCAAAATGTGCCCATGGGAAGGGTGCAGGTAGAAGTGATTTATCTCTAGGGTGAGCTGGTGATGTGGAAGTGTTTAGTACAAGGCTGATAAGAGCTGGTCACATCGCTGAAAAAAAATGAAATGCGAGTTTTTGTGCTGCTGTGCCAGCTATAGCAGAGAAGTCTTTGGCCCGGGTATTGGGGCACTGAGGGAGAGATGAGGGAGAGATGTCAGTTAAGAACTATTCCTATCACCCCCTACTCTTCCAGCTACCTTTATTTTCAACATTTTAATGGCATCTAGCTGATTTAAGATCTGCTTAGTGTGTTTAAGGCAAATAATTTACTAGGAGCCACCCACTGTGTAGCAGAACAGGTTCATCTCCTTTGTTTTCTATGTATTTAAAGATCACTTCTCTCCATCTGTAGAAATCAGCTTTTTCTTTCAGATGAATCGTTTTAAGGACAAACTGTATAGGAAAGAATGCAGCCACAAGCAGCGAGTGGTGCTGGAGCTTGCCAGCGTCACTACTCCCCAGTTAATAAGAGGTGACTTGGTTCTCCGCTGCTCCAGACATGTTGTTTCCTGACAGAAGGGAGAAAGCTTAAGTGTGCATGCAGTTAATCAGGTGCCAATGTACATAAACTCCTCTGCATCTTGTAAAATTGCCTTGCAATTACACTGGCACAGGCAGCTGCTTCAGTTAGAGGTCTTAGTAAACCGTATGAAACCAGCTTTCAAGGTGTGGCCAGTGGCTACTGAACTCATATCAGAGGCAAAATCCCAACACTGGTGTACAACAGTGTATTGCTCACACGCAAACTGATGTCTGTATAGAGGTCCCTGGGCTTGTTTGGTACGAGCCAAATTTTGTCTTGATGGATGTCACCCAAGGACAAAGGGAAAGCTGTTCCTTTCAGTGAGCTGCTGATGGAGCACTGCTGCAAACCCCAGCTGCTCAGATAAAACTCATTTTGGTAGCGCACTCTGGTTTTAGAGGTTGTGAAACAACTTCCTGTATGTTTTGTAGGGTGAAGATCCTGGTTTTTCCATGCAAAACATCCCATTTGTCCACGTATGTTTTTTGGAAACCATTTATCTATGATGATGGAAACTTGGTGACTTCTAATAAAGCAGCTCAGTAGTGCAGGACACAGAAGCGAGGCGTTTACTCTTTGCCCAGCCGTGCTGTATTCCAACCCGAATGCTTTCTCTGTTGGTTCTTGGAAGGCTGCTGGTTGTTGGGACTGTAGGCAGTCCACTACTTTGCGTATGTCTTTGAGCAGGCCCTGTCCGATGCAGGCTGCAATCAGACTTGACTCCATCTCCTGGCAGAAGGGAGATGGCTACTGAGTGCTATGAGGCAGATTCCTCTGTTGTCATTCCCAAATAAGAGAAATAAAAGTGGAATGCTAATTTCCAGTGCAGTCTTGGGAGATTTTACTGCTTTTCATGGCATCTCTGGGGGGGTGTCCCCACCCTCCGTGTGTTTGATGCCACTTCTGAGGCTGAGATGGAGGTTTTTTTCTGTGTGGCATCAGTTGTCGGTCTTGAGTCTGTCGAGTTACTCTCCTCAGCCTGCCTTCTAGTACCTGAGGGAGAAGGAAAGAGCCTGGACTCAGTAATTAAGCTTACTGAGGAATGCATTGTTGTAGTCTCCTTGGTCTGGCCTGTTGCCTGCACAACGTGATGGAATCACAACGTGGAAATCTGTAAATTGTATTGCTACATCCCTGTAATTATAGCCTTGTTCGCTCTTTACTGTCCCAGCTGCTTGCTCAGTGTGCTGCAGGACACTGCTGAGGATCTACACTGCTTGTCTTGCCTAGTTTTAGGAACCTGGTGAAGGGTGGTTTGCTGAGTGCAGTGTGTTCAAGTGCCCCTGGGCAGTGCTCTCTATCCATAAAGGACAGACGGATCCCCACCAGTACAGGGGCTGCTGTCTCACACTGCTAACGAGGGAGGCATAGTCACGGGGTTGGAATAGACCCAAAACTGCTTGAGAAAGTCCTGGTACATGTAGTACTTGGAATTTAAGTTGCAGGTGTATACTCGGTGGGAATGGCCTATGGCTTTTCTGCTAGGAGTGGGAAATGTGTGGGTATTAAAGGAAAATTATGAAGTAGTCAACATATGGTATAGTGAGCCCTTAGCTTAAGTGCCCCAGCCTGTTTCACTAAAGCTTTGGTCCTGATTGCTAGTTACTCTTCCCTAGTGGCACTAGTGGATATATTTATTTTTCTAACCTTTTGTTTAGATTCATCTCTTCTGAGTAAATGAAGAAAGTGACTATGAAAGCACACCATCTTCCTTCTGTTTTCATCAATGAGGAGAAGTTCATAACCAGGTAAATTATTAAAAAACCCCAAACATTTAATGACCTTGCTGCTTTATTTCAAGTTAGTCCATATTTATTCTTTAGCAGGGGATCCTGTCCTGTAGAGAGCTGAGCCTGTAGCAGCAGACATTTCTACAACTTGGTTTATTTAACCTGTCTACAAAACAGAGCTGGCCTTTATATGAAATGCAAAGAACAGAGCATTAAACCTTTGGGTCTGTGGGTTTTGTTCATTGAGGAGAATAGCCCTTCTAGAGGATTCTGGAATGAGATTCCAAGTTAGGGAAGAAGATTGTCCTGTCTTGGAAGTCTATTGGAATTGAACATGAGTTCCAGAGTTGAAGCTGAGCTCTGTTTCTCTGTGGCTTGGGGCTTGGCCTGCAGCCCCGGATCGCAGGGTTTCTGTGCAGAAAAACCTCTCAGGCTGCCAGCTTTGTGCTGTGATCAGTGGAAGTGGCTTTTTCACCTACTTCCAAAACCTTAGAATTGCACTCAACCTGTGGTTTGTGGCATGCTTTTCTACAGTTCAGTCTGGCTGGTAGGAATTGTTCCTAATGCTGCCCCAAACTCGGAGCCTCCTGGTGTTTAGCTCCATCCCCTTTTTTCGGGATTAATTTTGCCTTGTTGTCAAAAGCACAGGAACTGGAAGAAGGGCCTCTCTTCTCACTTCATTTATATCCTTCTTGGTGTTTCCATGGGAAGAAACTACCTGCTAACTACCTATAAGCTACCCCGGGGGAATTTCTCATACTGCAGTAGATATTTGTTCCTGAATCCTGCTCTTTGTCAGTGTGGCCTGAGCAGTGCTATTGATTTCCCCCTATTCAGGGGAGGGTGTCAGGGCCTTACCTGGAGCACACAGGCAATAAAGACATCCCTCCCTTTCTCCTCAAGTGTTATTCCTTTTCTAATGCTGCTAAGTTGGGATACAGTGCTTCTGTGTCAGAGGTAATTAACCTGTGTGGGCTCCTGTGCAGTCGGTGTACAAAAGCATTTGGAAATGTACCACCTGAACCAGTGTCTCTGGGGCTTTATTCCACCCTAGACTTGCCTGTTTAAGGGAGGAGATGTGGATCAGGGTCCAGACCTTTTTGCAGGAGGGTTTAAAGGGTTTTTTTGCCTTGCATAGAAAGAAATAAATGTTTCAGGAATTACTGACGTTCTGTATGCACTCAAGCTTGCTTCCAGTGCCATTCCCAGACTATCATCCCTCATCTAAACCTTGAGACTGCTGTTACAGTACTCCTCTTCTAGTTGTATCCTGCAAATCTTGCTGATGGGGCAAGTCTGCTGTTTGGGAATTGCACAACGGCTGGATGAAAAGGCTGACCAAAGCATGTGGGGTTATTTGGCTGCCTGAACTGCTGTGTCTCTAGCAGAACTGCCATAAATATTCGTGAATAAGTGAGTAGGGCTTGGGGAAGAAGAGGGCACAGGTGAGTTGTCCTGGGTTAGTGTTTCAGGAAAGCAGTCTGGGCTCTGTTGTGGTTTACCACCAGGGCACCTGACCTTGCAACTCCCTTTTATCTTGCTTTTGCTACTGAAGAAAGCGGTGAATCTGCAGTAAATGTTACGTGAGTTGTTCTGCCAGTTACTTGGCTTTGGTTTCGATTAATGTCTGAGTTTGGCTGTTGTCAGGAAGCTGCTGTGAAGAACAGACTTGCAACACAACAGCTGCTGATTATCTGGTAGCCAGACACTGCAGAGATGGCACCTGTCTCTAGGTTAGGGCAGTAGGGACACGTGTAAGACTCGTCCTGGAACCTGACTGGTCCACATCTTATGCCTTTCTGGGGCTGAAAGAAGGAAAATGTTTTCTTCTCCGATGTTTGCACTACACGAGGACAAACAAGTCTGTGTGAGCTGCTGTTAAATCTCTTCCTTGGGGCTTTTCTAATGACTTGAGAGGTTTGGCACTGTTGGTTGCACTAATGCAAGACTGAAACCTGAAAGATGTACTTATATGAACCTCTGTGAAAGGTCATGGCAAATTTTTTTAGACAAGGCAAAAAACTATGTGCAAATCTGGAGAGCTTGCTGTGACAAAGAGAATCTTACCACACCAGTTACTGCTGTTAGCCTGTGATTTGATTTGCCTTTGCAGACAACATGGACTAAGAGTAATAGGCAGGCCTCAGCCTGACCTAAGTCCTTATGTGTTCACAGTCTGTTTTGAGGGAACTCGCCTCCCCAGCTTCCTATCTGGAAAAAGCTTATGAAATAACAGCTGTCAAAATAACATTAGCATACGAAAATTATTTTTAACATTATCATACTATCATACTCTGGGAAGTATAAAAAGACTTGAGTTTGAAGCCCATCTTGAGCAGGATCAGCTGTCACATCTGTCCGGCAAGGCTGACCGTCTCAGATTTGCACAGTAATCTTGAATTGCATCTGGAGTTTGCCTGTCTACGAGGCCAAGACGTGCTTAATCTTGCTTACCTGTAGCCAGCATGATTAGAACTGGGCTTGTATCTGATTCATGTCCAAGTCTATTAAAACTTGGCCTTTTGGTGGGATGACCTGAATACAATCCCTCATCGCTCACAAGACGCAAAGAACCTGTAATGAGCCATCCCCACATGATGGAGAGAACGGGTTTTGCCACTTGTATTCCTAGGATTTGAGACCAAAGTGAGTTGAAGTTAATGCTGAAGACACTGGTTTGGAGCCCAGTGCTTTGTTGACAAAGCTACTTAAAAATATTTTTTGTGTGTGTGGAATTGCAGTAATGGAAAGTACTAGATTTACATCCAGAGTAGGAGCAGGGAGCGCAGTGAACCTTGTGGAGTTTAGTGGCATAGCCCTTGTCCTCATGTTCCCTGCCAGATAAAAGACCAGTTGATCTTTCCCCTTCCCACCGTGGGAGAAGGCGACAGCACACTGCTGCGTTTGTTAAGTGGAGAAGGGAGGGAGGGATAGGTATGCCAGGGAAAGCTTTTCACGTGCACACTCCGAGTGCCCCTCTGTCCCAGGCACAACGGAGGCACGTTAACTGCCCTGCTGACTGTCCCCGCTCTCCTCTGCGCTGTGTGCCAGCTGAGCCCAGGGGAAGGCCATGTTCCTGGGGCCAGACTGCGTGCTGGGCTCTGTCCCTCTGGGGCCCCCTTTTGCTCAAAATTGGGGGAGGAGCTGTAATAGTGCTTCTCGTGGTCCGTGGGTCCCGAACAGCTTCAGCAGGTCTTTGCGGTGCAGAGAGTTGTGCAGTGCTGTCTGCTTGAACCGTGGTCCTGCTGTTCTAACAGCTCCCACCGGGCAGAAACATGGACGTACCAGGCACTATTTGCAAATAGCCTTGGTGTTTTCACTCACCACTGAGGCAGGACGTTAAACCATTGCGATTTAGTCATCTCAGGTGCTTCAAGAGAGTCCATGGGGAAGAAGCTGTACTCTTCCATGCAGTTCTTCCCAGGCTAATTACCTCTGCTGGTGGAAATTGCTTGCTTGAGTTACAGTCTAAGTAATCTTTGAGTGGTGTGGGGAAGAGCATTTCATTCTTGAAGGCCCTGAAATACATTTCACTGAATTCTGTCGTTCCTCAGCCCTCCTTAGCTGATGAAGCTGGCTTTTTGTCTCCATGGCTCCTCGCTCGTTGGCAGAGGTTCTCTTCATCTCCATCCATTTTTCTTTTGAGCAGACTTGGTGCAAAGAAATTCTAGGCATACCGTAGACATTGGGAAATAAGAAGAACGTCTGCAAAAATGGAAAAAATTTGTAAATCATGATGCAGGGAAAACAAACTGTAATCCTACTTAAATTAACCTGCAATATTGGTGAATGGGGATGTTGTTCCTGTTTGCTTCCTTCTCTTGACTATTAACAGAGGTCCAAAGTACAAGCTATTCTGGGGCAGTGTTATTAAGATCACGTCAGACTGTGACTAATTAATTTCCTCTGTGTATCAGGTCTTTAAAGAAGCAACTTATGAGCAATCCAGTAACCTGACAAAATTTTAGTCCCAGAAGGTGGTGTATTGATCATTAACAAACCTATGCCAGGATGCAGTGGGTAGCGTAGGTGTGGGGTGTCACCCTGCCACATAACACCTGCATTTTACACTGACAGATATGTTATAAATTACTCTTTCTTTGTGGTCTTTGTTCTAGAGAGCAGCTCAGTTTTCTTCTGAAGAATTATAACTCTTACTATTCGGACCAAGAGAATCTACAACTGACATGTAGTCAGGTAAGGAATTAGGCAAGAGAAACTACCACTAATCTGGAGGTACCTGTCTCTGCTCTCTTCTCCTCACGGCACTGGACTCCAGCACTTGCTGTGGTGTTTTTATTACATGACATGTTCCATCTAATATAATAAACCAGAACAAGTTTCCCAGACAGATCAGGTCAGCTGCAGTTTTGGATGTCTTGGAAATACCTCAGAACTGAGGTTACACAGCCTCTCTAAGTAACCAGTTCCCAAACTGTGTCAGCCCCAGTCATTTAATTGTTTTCTTGTTACTTTGAGGGGAAATTGATTATTACTTGATCTTTTTTACTCAATTGTTGTGTAGTACTCCTGCTTCTTTTTTTTCTTCTTGTCTCCAGCGAGAAGGAAACGCGCCATTTATTGAAGGAATCCTGTCAATATTTTGGGGAGTGCGACACCCTATCCGATTAAAAATTCAGGATGAGAAGCTGATACCCTCTTTTGTAACCCTGAAGTCAACGGAGAGCGTGGGTTTGTTCCCTAGTAAAAGGTAATGTATGAACCTCCCTAAGGAGGAGGCAGGCTGGCGTTGCGAGACAGCTCTTGTGGGTGGCTTCAGTGGTTATGTCTGGCTGTGTGTCCCAGATTCCCCAAAGGCTCTGGTGGCAGCTTGCACTGCAGAGCTCTGTGACTGATACGGCCTTTCAACAGCTTCAGCTGAGCAGAAAGGTGTGTTTTTGTAGCATCTTTGTCTGGCTCTCAGGTTGAGGAGCTGGAGGAGGCTGCTCTTGTTCAGGTGAAGTGACTATTCCCATGCAAGGACTGGGAAATTGATATATATGAAATATATGTATAGAGAAACAGCAAACAAGCTCCCCGGGTATCTATGGACACCTGATCTCATGTTGGTGCACACACTATGGCATGAAGCCAAAAGCTGACAGGTAAGTATGCTTCTGGCTGCTTCAGGTGTGGAATCATGGCTGTTCAGGTGAAGTTCACACCAGGGAACAAATACTGGCTTTGTGCAAAATCTAATGTAAAAAACCTTATTAAAATGCCCACAGACCAACTACTCTGGGCTACTGCCAGTGATGTTTTCTATCCCAGTGTGTTGTGCTCAGTTGATGCAGGTTCTCAGTGTACTTTTCCTTTGTTTTGAACACTTCTTTCCTCAGCCCTAGCTGGTGCATTTGAGCTGAAGCTGAGCCACGTAGGGAGGCAGAGCCAATGTTCACCCTGAATGACTCCCTGATAAATTGTGTATTGCAGAGCTTCTTTTCCTAATTAGCCATTGTCTTAGATGGCATGCGGTACACATTGGAACCCTGAATTTAATTCTGCCATCCTTGCAGCTGGGAAGTTCTAGTCAAGTCATGGACAGGCTTCTTGTCTCTGGCTGTTGAAGCTGAGGGATGAGACCTGACAGGCTCTGTGTTTACCTCGACCAGATCTGCTGGTGTGGGTGTGTGTGGCCTGCAGGACGGGGGCCAGGCTGGCAGTTGAGGTCATGCTTCGCCTTTCAGTGCTTAAGAAACTTCTGGCTGGTGGAGATCTGAATCTTAAAGTAAACATTAACTCATGATTCCAGAAACGTGGGGCTGCCCTGACATGCTTTAAGGTATGCAGAGCAGCTTGGCTGTCTGATCTTAAATGAACTTGCTAAATATGTGGAACACAACTGAGATGGTTGTTTGGTGTGTTCATGGGAGTTAGCTGAATATTCTTTGGAATATGTATATATATATAGGAAATGAATTTTTATTATTGTCTTACAAATTGGTTTATTCTCAGTCGGAGCAGTAACTGCCTGAAGACTTTCTGCTGAAGAGTTTAGGCAACAAATTATGGAAATGTTGACATAAGAAAAGGTAGATCTTCTAACAGGCTGGATGGAATTCCTTGTTCTCATACAAAACTGGGTAGCATGAGGGGCTTTTATGTAATTTAGTCTTCCATGTCCCCATCTGTGTAGCAGACGTGTCCTGCGATTGTCCAAACCACAATACACACAATGTTTTCTGTGTGCCCGCCTGGTACTTATTTTGTTGTGGTTAATCCAGAACTTTGCTGTAAAAAAGAGAAATAATTTCTGCAAATTATTTAAGGGACACATTTCTCTGTTTAAGAGGCTCTAAATAGGCCTGTGATATATTTGGGACCCCTCATCATGCCTTGTTTGAATAACTGATTTTATTTTTACTTAAACTAAAAGTACCATGCTGAAGTCTGTGGTTGTGTTCTGTAAAGTTCTGAGCAGGAGCAGGAATGCATTACTTGAAGCCTGGCCACAGGATATACTGAAATGACTGTGTTAATGAGGAGTAATACATGTTTGGTCTTTCAGGGGAATGACTCGCTGGGGAGAATTTGACGACCTGCATCACATTAGTGGGGAGACACTGAAGTCTGCTGAGGAACAGCCAGACCTCGAGCAAAGTAAGTGTCTGTGCTCTTATGGTCACAAAGATTTCTGTGTTCTGTGGCTGTGCAAAATGAATTTCACCCCTCAGGCCTTCCCTAGCAGTGAGGGGGAATCTTTATGCTCTGTATGACATGTGTTGCAAGCTGGGGAAACACTGACCTAGGCCAACATTGTGCAGGTGAGTCCGTGAACAGCCAGTGCTAACAGGCTGTGTTTTCACCGTTCCCAAGGGAACAAAATAGCAAACTGTGGCCACTACAGCCAGCCTATTCCTCTTCATCATGTGCTTATGCCTTGCTCCTCCCTTGCTCCCCACCCCAAAAAAAGTTCATAAAAAAAGAAATACCTCCACCAAGAGCTTCCTTCCTCTGCGTTTGCTGGCAGGGAGGGGGGAGCAGCTGCACACGGTGCTGATGAGCTTTTGTTCTTCCAGGTTATCCATGTTATGAAAGCCACACGCTGAAGGCCAGGAGTGAGCAGGAACACGACTGTGCCACCCTGCCCCGGACCAGCAGCGATGCCGCGGCCGTGCGGAAGAGGACCAAGCTCCCCACAACAGCCAGGACAGGAGAAACTCACAGGTTCTCAATCAATGGCCACTTTTACAACCACGAGGTAGGAATGTTTAGGCTTGGCTTTGTCACCTGAGGGTTGGCCCTGGGACAGGGAACCCTGAGCTTTGCCTCATGCTCATGCCCTTGTGCGGCTGTTTTGTTCCCAGACATCGGTGTTCACTCCGGCTTTTGGATCAGAAACCAAAATAAGAATCAACAGCCACATGAGAACCAGACATGTGATAGAACAGCTGCTTCGCAAGTTTAAGGTAACCTGGCAGGAGCAAGTGTGGCTGTGTTCTGGAAATGTTCGTTCCTGTGTGCGCTCCAGTGCTGCAGGAAAGGCAGGGAATAACCGGGAGGGGATACTGTGTGAAACGCAATGTAAAAGAACTCACGTGGGCCATTTGAAATGTACGGATTGAGTTTGTTTTATTAGTGCTTCATGGCACTTTGAGGCTATAAAAGTTACACCGGGTGTGTGGTGTGCGGTGAAGGGGAAAGTGCAGAACCCCTACCCTGAAATCCCTCACTGAAGGGCAAACGCTGCTGCGCTTTCATCGTTCCCAATGCACGGGGAGCCTCGTCTTTTCCCGTGCAGTGCTGCCCTCCAGCGGACAGCCCCAGGAACTGCGGTTTGCTTAACGGAATTCCATCCCACGTCTGGGAGATAGGCCCTGTTAGACCCAGGCATGTGGAAAGGTCCAGAAAGTACCTCCCAAAGGACGGTACTGCTCAAGATCGGTGCTGTCCTGTCTGAAACTACTTTTTTTTGGAACCATCTTCCACCAATATGATTATACCCAGTCAGAAATACCTTTCCCATTAGTGCTCTATGTTTCTCCGATATCTTTATTCTACATGGCTGTGTAGGGCACGATTTTTAATTTATTTGTGTTGAACTTCCTATTTAAGCTGTCTAGAGACTTGGCTATTGCAGCATTACTTGACCTAGTTAGTGAGACTTGGGAGTGTAATATGGAAACTTGACTTCTAGGAATAGTAAGGAATGGACTTAGAGGCTGGGGTTTGAAGTTTTGGAAAAGTTGCGAAGTAAGTGTTCAAAAGCTCTGCTGTTTGCTCACTGTGCCTGTCAGGCACATTGGGTTGGCAGGGATTGCAGAGCCTCTTACCCTCATGAAAATACAAGTAGCAAATCTACATGTAACATGAAAAGAAAGTTGTACGTAGTAGTTCAGCATGCTCCAAGGAAACCAGGCAGGAATGATCTGGGCTTGTCTGTGTTACTGATTGGGGCAGTATGGAAGGGTAAGGATTATGGTTGGCAGGGGGACAATGAACGTGGCAGCATAGCTTTCTGTCCTGTCTAAATCCAGCACCTTTAAACTTTTTCACAGACAGGATCTCTGTCTCATTTTGATCCAGCTCTCTGAGCTGAGACACACAGGGTCTTATCTGCTGAGAGGGAAATGCTGGGAAGGTCTGTGAGTCTGAATGCATTTTCTTTTGTTTCACAGATAGAAAACAGCCCCCATGAATTTGCACTTTACATTATCCATGCATCTGGAGGTAAGCCAGGCACTGCTGCTTGATCATTTCATCTCTAATCATCCTCTGTGGTTGTGTGTGTGGAATGTGTACCTTGGAGTGACAGGGCTCATCCCAGACCTCTGTCCTCATTTGGCCAGTGTGGTGTGGCATTTTGGCTTCCCCAGAGACCCCTCAGATGTGTCTCCTGGAGAGGAAAAGCTGAATGATTGTGTTGTGGGCCCTTTCAGCTGACACTTTTGGATCACAGATACTGAGTTCAAAGTACTCATTTTTCAGTGGGAAGTGTTTACTTCTACAACAGTTTAAGTTCTTTAGGAAAAGCGAGATTTGATCTTTATTAAAGGGAATGCCTGAAAGAGTATAAGATAACTGAGGGGCAATGTACCTTAAATGGCAGATTATTACGGACCTATTAGGTATCTGGTCATTGCACAGCAGTCAGATATGGTTGGTCTGTGTCAAGGGAAGAGGTTCGTGAATGCAGGAGGTACAAAGAGGCCCCGTGGTGTGTTCTGTGTGTCATGACATTCCTTATAAATCCCAGAAAAGAAGCAGTTGAGGAGTGGAGACGTCCCCTTGCTGCACAGGCTGCTGCAGGGACCCTCGGAGAAGATTGCCAAGTTCTTTCTCATGGATGGGGACGTGGAAGAGATCAGCAGTGATGTGCGTATATCATCAGCTCTGATAGTTCCTCAAGTTGTTCTCCATTACCATGAGGAGTAGTGCATTTCTTGTCTTCTCCCCGTTAGGTTGCTCAGTACATTCCATTTCATCTTTCCTTTTTGGAATCAATTCTGCACAGAATAAATGAAGAGGAGAAGCAGGAAATTCAACAGACGATCGCAAGGTAAATGGAAGTAAAATGAGGGGGGTCACTGAGTCCAGGGGAATCTGGACAGTGATGGGCTGGCTCATGAGGAGAACACACGGATGTAGCAGTGTGCAGATACAACACTGCTGGAGAGATGGGCAGGATTTATAATCCTTTCCCTATCGAGTATACCCAGCTGTTCTGTTGAAGATTACAGAACAAATACTAACTACACATACAGTGGGGTCTTTTCAGAAAGTTTGGACCCTCAGGGTCACCTCAGTTTATGTTGTTTGTCTCTTGAGCTTTTACAAGCCTCAGCTTGTACTTGCTGCTGTGTATTCCACTGAAAAGAATAAATGCAGTATACACTGTGGTACTATTTAGGTTCTGTAGCATTTAAGCCACACTGGTGCAAAATGTCCCTTTAAAACGTGTGTGTGACAGGACCTGTGTCCTGAGCTATGACAGTAGCTCAAAACGCCCAATAGGGACAAACCACAGAGGCTTCTGTATTTGTGAGCAACTGGGTCCTGAGGCCAACAGCACCGAGAGGCTTCAGTACCCATAGATCTGTTATTGGATGATGGGCTGATAATCATGTTGAATCAAAGTGTACAGGGAATATATGAAAAAATAATAAGTAACACCTGCCATTTTTTAGTGGGAAGCTTTTCCTTGCCATTTGACTTGCTCCTTAGAACTTGGGTTAAATCTTTGCAGGATCCTGTTACCTAAATGCATTCTCCCTCTCCATCTCAGGTACCTAAGAGAGAAGAGCCTGATACAGCAACACCTTCGCAGTCGAACTGTTAGAAAAACAGAGACCACGGTTTGATGGGAACGGCCCTGGGGAACAGCCCGGGTGTGCGGAGGGGCAGTCGCTGCGCTGCCTGTTTCTGGGGGCTGGGGCTGAGGAGAACTTCAAGCTCAGGGTGTGCACAGTGAGGGGCTTTCTCCCCATCATTAAACAGCTGAAACCGCCCCCACTCCTGCAGCACTGGGATGCGGGCTGGAACCACCTAAGGAGATGCTCTACATCCCTCAAACAACAGATGCTGAATCTGGCTTGGAACCTGGAGAAAAATATGCCCTGAAAAGCCCAAGGCTTTAAACCCTACTGATGTACAACCCATTACCAAGAGGCTGGCATAGAAAAATATTGCAATAACCACTGCGTTACTAGAAAATATGCAAATTAAGTATATGGTTATCCCTCTATTAGAGAAATATGGAGTTATACCAGCAGAAAGCTTTTCAGTAGAGCCAAGTGGCAGAAGGTATTTATGTATTTAAGACTGCAGGTAGGATTTTCACTTAACTTATAAAATAGCCATGAAAGACACCTGAAATTCCACCGGCTTCAGGTTGGCGTTTGCTGAACCTGCTTAAGCTTTGAGCTATGGTTAGAAAAACATAACTGGCAGCATCCCACGTACAAGCTGCTCAGCTCTTGACCATGAGAGGGAGTTTATCCCTGAAATGCCTTGTGAAATGCAAAGGAAGATCTGTCACTGAACACTGCTGGGTCCTGGAAGGCATCTCAGTAGTTTTTCCTGTAAAGTAGGGGATTCTGTGGTCCTACCAGTGTTTTCTGTGTGAAAGGGAACAGAGAAGTGCTCAGTGAGAGGCTGAGTGTCACAGCCAGGGAGGATTGGGCTCGTGGCCTCCCCATGGATGTAGTTTGGGTCCAGCCTGGCCCCAGGCAGGGCACAGCAGCCAATGCCAGGCCCTTGTCTGGTTGAGTTGTGCTGGATATTGGAGCTCAAATTACAGAGATGCAAATAAATTGTGCACAGTTGATGTTCCTCCTGCATTAGCCCATTGTTTTTACCGGGTACCTGTGACTTACCTCAGCTGCCTTTGCCTTGTGCAGGTAACAAACACTGAGGGAGGAAATGAATGAGCAGAACGTGTTGTCTACAAATCATGTGGAATAAATCAAATTATAAAACTTTACACTGCCTAAGATCGCGTTACTGGGATGTGAATTCAAAACATGAAGGTCAATGCGGTGACTGAAACTGCTCAGGCTGGGGCAAGGGGGTACAGTTTGTAATCCTGCCTAGGAAAATAATTAGGGGCAAGGGAGTACAGAGAGGAGAAATAAAAATAATTCAGCAGTTAAGATGTAGGGATTAAGTAATAGGTGCCTTAGAGCTGCAAATAAAACTTCCTTGAATCAGCAGAGCATGCACCCAAGCGGAAATGTTGGAATATTAAATATTCGTAATTTTTTGCACAGCCCGTATGGAAAAGAGGAAGTGTTTCCAAGCAGGTTCTCCAACCCTCTGTGTATGTCCACACTTCCTAAAATGAGCTGGTTTTGCCACCATCTGATGTTCAAGACTTGAATCCTGTTTATTTCCCTTATCCTGCTGACTGGGGACTGAAAAGCACTGAAAATAACTCTGGAACACGGCACAGACCAGGTGCAGCCAGCCAGGATTTGAGGGTGAGTGAAATCAGGCTGTGACTGTTGCGGGGTTGGTTCTTTGTGAGTGCAGTGCTGTGTAAATGAACCATTTCTGACAAATACAAGAGTGGGGGAAGAATTTATTCCAGATTATTACAGGGCATTCATGGTAACACAGCAATGACACATTGGTGACAGAGGAAGCGGGGGGGTCACTCTTGCATTCAGGCCCGAAGCCATTAATCACAGAGACAGTCATTAGAGGCTATGTCTTACCTGGGATCTTACATTTCCCTGCTGACCAGGTGTTTCAGCAGTCTCTGTCCCGTTCTTTCTGGGACATTTTACTTACTTTTTTCTCTCTCACTTTATTTGGGATGCCAGAGATAATACCATTCTCTGTTTAAAGGCAACTTTACAACACTCCCGAGCAGCTCATATTGGTGAGTGCATATGCTGCAGTTCAAGGCCAGTGTTATAGAAATGTAAAAATAATTATTCAGTGATTGATTTACAATGGTTACGGGCAGATTTTCTTAATTTGATCTCATTTGCACTTATGCTTTATAATCTTAAGATTTAAAATGCCTTTGTTTTGGTCTGTGACTATTGGGGATATTAAAATAGCATTGCATACCAGGAGATGGTGGCTACAGTCAAACCCTGATTTTCCATCACTTAACTGATTGTTTTGGTGGAATTCATTAAGAGCATGCGGCCTCCCTTTAGACTAAACCTGGCTTTCAGACACTTGGTTTGGTTTAAATGCTCCCTGTGCAGTTTGTGTCACTTCCTGTCGTCCAGCGAGGACCTTCCCTTGGGCTGTGCAGCTCCTTATGCTGACAGCATTTTCTCACTCCTTTTGATAAGTTCTGGACCCTGGAAAAGAGGAAAATCCGTGTGAGCAGTAATGTCAGGAGGGTGTGTTCGTGATGTGTTTGTGACATGCTCTGTCTCATGCAGCAGCAGGTCCTGTCCTATAACCTCGGCAAGGCGGGCACTACACTCTGTGGAGAGCACAGATAGGTTTATCACCGTGCAGTACACATTTTGCTGTTGCTGTTCAGCTCAGGTAGCCTTAGATTTGCTCTTTGTTGGAAAGATACTGAAATACAGTTCTGGTTGGAATAGTCAGAATCCTTTTTGGCTGTGCTGTTCAGTTGTATCCAGAGGTGGACATTTTTTATTAATCAGAGAAAATGTGCTGTATTCTATCTTCCAAAGCAAAGACTTCTGAAGAGAAAGAACAGGGCTGCTTAAGGGTCAAGGATGGTTTGTTAAAGTTCAGTTAAGGATTATAGCAAAGAGAGGGAGCTGAGAAGTAGGAAAAAGCAGATTTACCAGAGGGTAAAGAGGAGCCAAAGCAGCTCAGGGATATGAAGTTGAATGAAATGAAACAGCACTGGGAAGGCAGGAGGGAAACAGGGGCAGGAAGATAAACAGGGAACACGCTTTGACCAAAGACCTGAATGTACCCTTTCCCTCCCTATTGTGGTGGAACTGTGGCTGGAAACAGAAGCGATACCTCTTTGAGGAAACAGGCCTCAGGGTCGGCCTCTCTGCAGCACCGTTCCCTCATGGCAGCGAAGGCGGCTGTGACGGAGCCCAGCTGCTCCGCGCTGATCTGGGGCTTGTACTTGAGGAGGGTGATGAGCATCCTGCAGGAGAGCAGAGCTCTGGAAAGTGGGAGGGGAGCACGCGCTCACCGAGCTTCCCTCCACCCCAGGCCTGCAAACCCCCGTTCCGGTCCCACCCGCTGCCTTCCCACAGCTTTTCATCCTTGTTCACCACCCAGACATGGATTTGTGGCCGGGAGCAAAGCGGTGCCCTGTTCCCCTGTGAAATGAAACATGGGTGCCTGGTTTGGGAGTGTTCCAAAGGAGAAGGTGGGACCGTGTGCGAGGGAAGGTGAGCAGTGCCAGGGGGATCAGCAAAACAGCATCTCTTACTCCTGCTTCCTGTGCTGTAACTTCTCCTCTTCCGAGGTGCACAGGTCTCCATGGAAAGCCAGCAGGCCCGGAGTCAGCGCTAAGGGCACGTAAGTCTCATCGATCTCCAGTTTGCCTATGCACGGCCTCCTGAAGGCGTAGGAGCTGCTGCAGCAGCGGCAAACTCCGGGGTTTATGGGATCAGCCAGGTGTCTCCTACAGATTTGCCCCAGCACGAGATCCAGCTTTAGCAAGAGAATGAAAAAAGCAATGTTACGTTACTTTTTCATTTTCAGAAATCCCTGAAATGCACATTGCTCACAGTGAAGTTAGGAAAAGAGGAGTTTAAATGAAACCTGATTTGTAGGATAGAGAATATCTGGTATTTGCTGACTTCTGTCAGTGCAGAAGCAGCTGGGATTTTTGCAAATGAACATTTATATGGGACTGGCAGCAGAATTTCTGGCAGAGTTTCAACAAAAAGTAGGACCCAGATACAGAAGGGAAGCACTCACGTGTTCCTCGGCACAAGGCAGCAGCTTGTCCTGGCCCAGCTGGCAGCATTTGAAGCCGATGGTTGTCATTTCCTTGGTGAATTTGATCAGCTCCGCTGATGTCAGCTGAGGCATCTTTTTGGTGAAACTCATGAGGAGCCTGAAATGACAGATTTTGTGATACTGGTGTTTTTGTTTCACCAGGCAGTAGTGAGCAGCCTCTGCCTTCCCTGTGGAATGCTCCAGGCAGGCCCCATGAAACACTCCTTAGTATACACAGGAGTGAGTCTGGTGTTTCTAATTCCAGGTAGCCAGGTGTAAGACTGCCCTGTTTGTGTGAGGCTGCATATTCCAACAGTGCCTTTAGCCTGGCCTGTAATGACCCGTGTGGCGTTACCCCAGCCCGGATTGTGCCCAGTGGGAGCAGGGTAAGGAAGCACAGGAAAAAGCAATACTCGTTTTGGAAATAGTAATCTCCTTTCTCCTTGTAAATGTCACAGCTTGTCCTCATGACACTCTCTGTTTCATAAATATGTTTCCTCAGTTCTTCCTCCTGAAAAAAATAAGTGAATTTGAGGAGGGGGAATGCGGAATGTCCCGAGTACCTACAGCTGCCTCTCACCTGACAGGGACCCCCTGGTTTTAATGCCATTTCTGTCTGAAACCTCTGTAAACTGCCTGAATGTGGTAAAATGTCCACCTCTGTTCCCCATGACCTACTGAATGTTGTGTGACTGCGGGAAGGCCGGGTCTGAGACACAGGGCAGCTCCTGACATCAGGTATTACAAGGCCACTGTCCTGATCTCAGACAGTAACCATAAGCAGCACCTTTATGTGTGGGAGAGGGAAGAGGCACCGCTCGGGAGCGGGGCCCACACAAGTGTTAGCTCCATCCGTTTCCCCCCCTCTCCATCTGTCCATGTTAAATTGCACAGGCTCTGGGATGCTTTTTACGGTTGGGAATCGGGCTTTGCAGGATTTGCTGGGATTGTTACAGGAGCTGTGACTCTGGAGCTGGAGCAAGGATATTGGCACTTCAGTCACGCTGTGACGTGCCTGACCCCCTCCGTGTGCTGTGAGGAGCCCGAGGACCCACCAGCACCCACCCCCCTGCTGCGGCAGCCACTGGGAGCCCCGGGCCTGCAGCACTCCCGCAGCAGGTCCTCGTAGCCTTTGCCAATCCTTAAAAGCATCTGGGCAGAAAATTCCGGGTGTCTCCTGGAGTATTCATACAGAAACCTGTAGTATCAGGAAGATCAGGAATTAGGGAGAAGCCAAAACAACTGCCCTTGTGGGGAAGGACAGCAGGAGGATTTCGGGGTGGGTTTGTCCGGTGGAACAGGGAGAATTGTGCAGGGGAAGCCCTGTGTTACCTGGCTAAGTGCATGTCTTTTTCCTGGGCAAAACGTTCACATATTCCTTTGTCTTCAATGAACTCCCTGACGAGGGGGGACAAGCCTGCAGGTTTGTCATCGTTTTGCATGTTGAGGATGCACTCGCTCCTTTGTAACAGGGGCTTTTCACAGCACTGCTGGATCCGTCTGGACAGGACGTGCTGGCTGCTGCACACGTAGAGCAGAATCTCTTCCTGTAAACAAGAAAAGGAAGCTGAAAATCTGAACCCAGTAGCAAAGCAAGCATGAAATGTCTGCACCACACGACTGAAAGGGCTTTACCCTGTCCCGCATGCAGTCCAGCGTGTCCCCACGGCAGCAGGCCTTGTGCATGTCGGCCACGGCCACCACCAGTTTGTGCACAGTGACAAAGTCAGCTTGGGGGAATTTTTGGCTTATCTGGGCAAGCTTCCTACAAGGAAGGAAAACAGTTACTGTTTATATTCAGAGTGGGAGACTGTGCTAGCTATCATCATTTTTGTGTGGGGACGTTGTCTAACTTTGATCACGGAGAGGTGTGGTTGGTTCAGACTTTGGGATTAGATTTTAGAATCTCATGGCAGTTTGTAAGGAAATGCTGATGCTGTCAACACAGAAATCTAAATTTCTGTCTTCCTTGTTAGATGCTGCTGGTGACCTGCACATAAACAGGAGAGGGCTCAGAGTCACTGTGGAGCCACAGCTTTATGGTGAAACAATAATACACATGGGGAAGACTCACAGAGC